ATATCTTGATCTATGAACCATTATGAGGAAATTTCCACCAAGCATTCATCCAAATAAGCTATGAGAAACTCTTCTTTATTTTTAGCCCTACATAGTTGATTATGATATCTCTTTCAATGATCTAAAAGATCCTCATGACCGGTATATTTTTTAAACATTGGGGTTTTGAAATTGACAGACAAATGAACGTGGGTAACAAGTACAAATCACTCAATGAGATGCCTTCGTGACCTCCTAACCCATGTATATCTCTTACACTCTATTTCAAGCTCTTCATTTTTGTAGCCATTTTTTCATGTTCCTCGTTCTTAATGATATTTTATATTTTTACATGGAAACTTGATAACACTCAAATTTACTTTTTTAAAATCAATTAAAAGAGACAACGATCATCGCCGATAAAAATACCCAGTTAAGAGTTGGACTCAAATTCCCAGAGAATGGTATATCATAGATAATTCTATCAAGAAATTTGGATTGTAAAATCATTTATTTAATTTTGTTGAAACAAGTGGGTGGATGATTCCACCAACTTAACAAAAGGATTTGGTTATTAATGGTCACAATTTAACTAAAATTTCTGAAAATTCAAGAAGTAACAAGTAATCTTTTATCGATCTCATAACATCCTTCATTTCCTTTCGGTCTCATCTATATATTTTACTAAACAATATAATATCTTAATCTATTATCTCTTTCGATGAAGAAATAGGGCATATAGATTCATTTCATAACCTCTATTTTCAAGCAAGTTACAGACATCAAACTTAAATTGCTAGTATCGGACTAAACACCAACTCAATAAGTCTATTTCGAGCATTGACTGAAGATCAAAAGTAGGAATTAAGTTTGTAACTTTAACCCTTATATTAACCTATGTTAATTAGCCTAAATTCATATATGAACAACAACAAGATAGAGAATAATACGATATCCACTACGTTAAATCAACACACAACCTCATAATTGCCCCCCTAGATCTTGGAGTTTTGGCCACCCATCACAAAAAGCAAAAAAATTATACCTTTCATGAAAACAATCATGGTTAACATGAAATTATACAATTACAAGCAAACTCACTTTGAATTCCACTTCAATTTGTCAATTTTCAAGAATAAAGTTGAAAGCCCCAAAAACTAGAATGTTTTCTTCACAGGTAAAGTGTTTGTTGCTCTCTTCACTTGTTCATACACCAAAAACTATTTCCAATCACATCTCTTTTTTTCTATTTATGGTTTCTCAAAATTTGACTTAAAGCTAAACACGATACACATTAGGCGACATTAGTCAAACTCCCGAATCATCGATTTCTCTCCAACTCCCCTTCTCTTTCTCTAGGCTTCAGGTTTTTAGCGTCACTTGATGAGTTTGTTCGATTTTATATTTAACATTTGGCATATCTTCGAGTATAACCTTAGTTCTCCTTTTGATCCTTCAATTTTTCTCCGTGTATTATCGCCTTTGGCGATGGTAAACCTGTTAGGCTTTCCTCGTTCAGTAAGTTGTCTTTCCATTTGGAGTTTTCTAACCTGCTTAAAAAATACAAGTGTGATGCACTTACACTTTTGGCGAAGTCATGCTCACTAGGCAAACTTTCTTGATTGGTGATTATCAATATATAGTTTGAACCTCTTTTTATATTTTGCCCATTCTTGTAAACACTCATCCTTGCCTTACCCTTCAACTTTCATAGCTGCAAATCATCAAAATATCATTGATATAATTAGGCATCGAGGGCACTAATTTTTGAGCTAAACAAACCTCAAATGAGTGCAAATCTATGACTCATCAACACTGTCAACTTAACCTTTTGCTTTTCCTCAAGTAAATCAAGAACATAAATTAGCTCTAAGGATGTCTACAAGAGATAACATGCAAGTGTCATTACAAGACTACTCTCAACAACATACTACACTAAATCATCATCAAAATTCTTCAAATGATGACTAGCCGAAAGCAAAAAATGAGAATGCATAAGAAGACTATTATACAAATTTTCTCTGAAAAATAGGGCACACTTAGGCTTTTGTAATTAGTTTTACTTTTCATTGCATGTTTGAAAAATGTTAGTTGATTTCATTTAGAAAATCTATTCATATTTTAAAATTGTAGTTAACCAATGGATTGCTGCTGTTACGGTCTGTAAAGAGTGAAACTTTCGAACTCTTTGAATTTGTTCTATTGACTATTTTTGAAGTTGACAATTAGCGAAACTAAGGTCGAAAAAAGTTATTGAAGTTCCTTTAATAATACTTTATTTACTTTGGGTCAAATATCTTGGATAGTTTCTTTCAATATATAAAGTTTTACAAGGATCATAGACTATCAAATCGAAAGCCTGCGAGTCTAGTTTGCAATGCATAAAATTCCGTATGCAACCAAAATGGGAGTAAAAAGTTATGAGGATTTAACTGTTGGACTGTTTGGGTAAAATTCCCGTGGCAACTGGGTCGGGTCAAAAAGATGGTTTGTTGGCTTGTTTAATGTTTTAACCCATAAAAGCTTTTCTTTTCACTTCCTAACCAGATTGAAAGCTGAAGTGTTGGTTTGAATGGACTTATTGCATTATGAAGGTTAGGTTTTAGCGATTTCTACCATTAAATGTTGAACCCATTTCTACCGTGATCTCTGCACGTGACAATTATTTTCTCCTTCTATTAGCTGCATTTGGAGATGAGTTTTGAAGATATAAATTTGTAGTTAGTGTTGTTTCTTCAAGGTTTACACTTGGTTTGCTAAGTTAATCATCTCGGGAATCTTTCATGATTGTTTTTATGAAGTTCTACGGATATTTCGTCAAGTTGGGGCCGTATTGCGAATCTGCCGATTTAAGCTCAATTTTGAATTATTTATAGGTGTGTATCTACCATCTTTGTATATATAGTGTTTGGAAAGCTTAGTATGTAAGGAACAACTTCCGTGAAGAAACTGTGGGCATTCGAGCGTTCATTGGAAAGGTATGTTAAGGCTAAGTTTCGTCCCTCATTTTAGCACGACTCCTGAGAAATTCCTAAAATTACATACGTGATATTGTGCTATTCTCTTACTAGAAAGACCTTCTATCAGGTATTAAGATCTCAACTGAATTATTTCCATAATTCTAGTATTCGACATCTACTTGTCATTTTATCGTTTTCGTTGATTATAAGTTTATATGTATGAATTGTTATTATTCCTCTGCTGGTGTGACTTAAAAATATTCCGAAGACCCTTATTATTTGTACCCAGCCTTCTTTCCCAATTAAATTTATGATGATTTTCTTTTAAAATGATTCATAATCTTCAATACTCTCAAATATAACTTAAATGTAAAAACTATCAGAACACTTGATTTTTCAAATACTAATTTTCTAAATTATCTAGGAACTTGGAAACCTTTGGTGTCGAATTTTGAAAGGATTTTATATACTTGATTGAGTAACTCTTTTTTACCCTAAATCTATCACTCATCAATACCCTCAATTTTAACTTTTCGTTTTTCCTCAAGTAAATCGAGAACAAAATTAACTTTATAAGGATGCTAAAAAAACATGCAAGTGTCATTATAAGACTACTCTCAACAACATACTACACTCAATCATCATCAAAATGCCTCAAATGATGACTAGCCGGAAGCAAAAACTCAGAATGCATAAGAAGACTTTTATACAAATTTTCTCTAAAAAACATGGCACATGACTTAGGCTGCTGTTAGTTTTTTCTTTTCACGGCATGTTTAAAAAATGTAAGTTGAGTTCATTTAGAAAATTTATTCATATTTTAAAATTGTAGTTAACCAATGGATTGCTACTGTTACGATCTGTAAATGGTGAAACCTTTGAACTCTTTAGTTTGCTCTCTTGACTATTTTTAAATTTTCTGATTAAGAACCCATCAAAATAATTTCCAAACGAACAAGTTACATTTGTTTAAATTATTATAAATCATGATATTCATGATATCTTTTTCTGCGTATAATATTAATATTTGAATTTATGTTTTCGACTACTTTTTCTTGTTAAAGTTGATATATATTTCCCTTTTAAATTTTTATTATAATGTGAGGGTTGAGTTTGTGGTGGAAAATTATGGGTGCTCTTTGGCATTTGTAATTGAGGGTGTGTTTGGTATGAAGAAAAATATTTTGCAATTTTCTCATATTTAGTTGCACAAATATGAATAAAAAAAATTTCCATGGAACAAATATTCCTCTGATTCGTGGATAATGACTTCCTTAAGGATCCAAGGGAATAAGAAAATTACCTATTTTCATTCAGCAATCGAATTTCAAAAAATAAGTATGAAAATAATTTATTTCTTAAAAAACATTTTTCCTCTTGTGGAACGCACCCAAAATATAATAATTCAATAGTATTTTGATAATATTAGTATAAATACTTTTATTTCGTCAAATTTAAAGTTTATATTTCATATTATTGAAAAATATATTGTTATGTTGTTTGATCTCTTAAAAATATTGATGAGTGTGTCGAAAGAATGTGATACCAATTGGAAAGAAAGTGATGAAAAAAATATCATTTGCTCACCACAATTATTTGGATTGTAGTTTTTAGGTATATGTACATGTTTTTATTGTCATTATTATTGGTGTATGTCATTACTTATTATTTTGTAATGTGTCTTAAGGTACCCACTCCATAACAATGAAGATATTTTAATTGCGAAGAGATTTAAAAGATCAATTGTATTATGTTATTTATATGTTACAACATTCGATAAGTTGTTACGTGTGTTACCGAGAGGTTATAAATAGAGATTCAGTATGTCATAATTCAATTCTCTCTTTTGTGCCATTTGAACATGTGCAAGGACTTTAACTATAATAGAAAATTAATTAGTTGCGGTCCTTAATAGCTAAATGATTCTTTCTGGCAATTTTAAGCAACAATGTAGTGTTAGGTCCGTGCTTTCATGGGCTATACCTTTATTATATATAATAAAAAAAATATTATTTTTATATATCATTACACATATCAACAAGTTAAGAACTAACTTGGTATATATGTGAAAGTAGTTCATATGTCTACATGACATGACAAGCGTTAGGATTCTCATCACTGAACCACGGTGGGGCATATACATAATAAACAGAACATGGAATTTCACCTTCCTTGATTTTTGCTTCTACTTTCTTCACTTGCTTAAATTCAATAATCTTTTCTTCCATGGTTACTTTTTCCTCTTCTTTCTTCTTGATGATTTCTGTGTATTTGCCAAATGTTTTTGTTACATATGACACAAGTTTTTCAGACTCAAGAATTGTCTCAACTGTTATTGTCTGAGCTTTGAAGTTTGTTTTAACACTATTAATACCTGCAAACAATAAATGCATATAAAATAGAGATGTATATCTCTAAAAACATAATTAAATCTTCTTTGACTGTATATTTTTACCTTTGTGTTTGAGTAACCTCCTCTCTAGATCAACTTCACACTTGTTGCAATGCATGTAAACTTTCAATATCGTTGTCTTAATAGTTTCCTTCCAAATTCAACAGAAACAAGTCAATTCCAAACGAAAATGTTTGGACATGAATCGATATATATTATATATAGAAGCAATGAAATAGTTTGATAAATAAATATTTACGTAAAATAATATCTTACTGTTCAACATTTTGAAAGAAATAAAAAATATTTCTTCTAAATACACAATATTTTTTTTAAAAAAAGGATTAAAATGTCTGTAACGTATTAGAAATGGCTGTAGAATATGTTTTCTTTTTTTGCCTATTGGATTAAATTTACCTCTCTTTTCTACCTATGGTCTCCTTTTAACTTATTGTATCAAGTTTGCCCCTAAATCGTTTTTAAGCTTAAAACTATATATTCTTCCAATGACACAATTATATTCTTCTTAACTATATTTTAATTAACCATATTTCCTTATTTATTGATCTACCTAAAATTCTTACCCAACCCATGCATAACTCAACTTGACACAAAAACTGTTTTCAATTATTAACACATCTAAGCTATAAAATTATTTTTTCACCTCCCATTTTCATCCAGTTTCTATATCAAAACGTGCTAATCTTTGGGGGTGTATGAACAACCCTAGCGAACAACTAGACATTTGGAGGGTTTTTACCGAAAGGAAATTAAATTTTAAAAAGTCAAACTTGAAAACCTGACTTTTGTTAATTTGATATACATATATATATATATATATATATATATATATATATATATATATATATATATAAACTCAACACAATTCCTTTGACTTGGTGGTTGAAAAACGTAAATGATCAATAAATAAAGGTCACACAATTAATTAATTAAAAAATAAAATAATTATGTCATTGAAGGGACAATTATAACATTTGAAAAAAAAATGGATCCAGCTGATGGAAGAATGGCGATTTTAAAGCATTAATAAGACTTTACGAGCATTTTTTTATCATGTAGACAAAGAGGCAATAAATTTGATCTTCTATCAAATAAAAAGGAAAATGAATTTAGTCTATTAGGTAAAATGAAGACAGTTTTAGACATTTCTAATATACGAAGAAAGAATACTTTTTTGTTGCTGTAAATTATTACTATATGGAAGTGTCCATGGGAACTAGAATTAATTAAATGGAAAAACTAACAATTTTTTTTTGATTATATTGTCATCTAAAATTGCATTAAATGAAGAGAATCAATATTTGAGTTTAAACTTTAATAGATTGATGAATTGCATAGAAAGGAATTTCTATATTCTCAATTTTTTTAAAAAAAAAATAAACCACAACTGTTAATAATTTGAAAATAATAAAAGTGATTTCGTGTAGCATAGCAATGCAGATAGTATTTTATTGTGAATTTATCATCATGAATATATATTAAGTTATTATAAATGAAAGAGATACCTTTTTGAGTTGGTTTGCGTTTTCAATTTTGGCGTGTGATACTAAGTGGACTTTGTTTTTAGTCCATTTCTGTAATCGTTGGTGAATTTTGTTTGCGTCAATAGCACCTTTTACAGTAACCTCATCCTCATCAAATTTCACATCCACATTATGAACTCCTGACCCATGTGGCTCATATTGAATATCATTACGAAAAAAAATACATTAAAATTTATAAACAAATCAAAAGAAATATATGTTGAGTACCTTGAGTTGCCAAGAGTGGTTTTCTAATATCATGTGCACATTTTGGGCAGTGAAGACCAACTCTGTAAACTGCACTCGTTACTTCTATTTTCTTCTCTTCTATAGACATGGCATTCAACATTTACTACAAACAAGAGAATCAACAATTTCACAGTAATAAACAACAAAGTTGGTTGGTGGGAATAATTAGCCCATGGTGGTTCACTAGTATATGGAAGCTTCAATTTAGGGAAAACCTCCAAATGTAATATAATATCTCTATGAACACCTAATTTTTCACCAAACTTAACAGATTTTTTACCATTTTAAATACTTAAATATTATTGTTTCAGTAGGTTTATGTTTGAAATAAATGAATTAAAAAAAAAATTTAAATTACAACAAATTATATGTTCTCTTTATATTTAAATTACAAGTATAAAATAATAGTTTTGAAAGAAAAAGATCATTATCCAATGCATGCTGATAGAGATATATATATAAAAAAAATATTAGGCGATTCACCAATGATTTCTTCTTGAGTGGCGAGATCCTGTATAAAAGGACTCCAGATTTGAATATATTGTGATGCTGAATATCCAAGAAGCGAAACCAATTATGAATGAGGTGCATCCAGGGGTATGTGACCCACATTTGAATGGTTATGTTCTAGAAAAAAAGATTATCCAAGCAAGTTACAATTGGTTGATCATGAACATGGAGTGAGATTGATTCCACTTTGTTTGCATGTATCATCAGTGGCGGATTCATAGCGACTTGATTCACTCACACCTTTTAGAGTTGCAACTATGTCTTTTTCTGGCCCTTTGTTGCTTGGTGAATGGACATTATTCGGCTAATTGAGACGAAATCTTCTAACGGGCATAAATTTATTTTGGTTGTCATGGACTACTTCACCAAATGGGTGGAAAATGTTACTTTCAAATGAGTCACCAAGAAAGCAGTGGTGGACTTTGTTCATTCCGACATCAATTGTTGGGTTCTAAAGGTGTGACATGAAATGAAGGGTTGCGACTCTCCTGAAGAATTGTGACTTTGCCGAAAGTTGTGAGTTGTGGTCTTTATGAAAAGTTATGTCTTTTCTAAAGGGTTTGACCGTTTGGAAGGTTGTGCTTTTTTCAAAGGGTTCTGACCTTTCTTAAAGGTTGTCTTATTTCCAAAGAGTTGCGACCTTTATCCTTTGATATTTATAAATAGAGAGGTTTTCTCTCATCTTTCTACATTGAATTCTTCCTTCTTTTGCATACATTTATAACAAAACAAAATCGATCGATTGCGTCTGTGTGTGTGATTCATTGCTGTTATTTTGTGTTTGTTGAAATTATCGAAGTTTGAGGTACTGCTACTTCTTTAATGGTTAATCAGTTTTATTTTTGGAGGAATTAATCTGCAACCTCGATTGCTTGAGGGGATTAAATTTCTTAAAGACACAGAGTGAATTCTGTGGACTCGTATAGTTTTTTTTGTTTTTCTTTTCATCTTTTATTTTCTTGGCTTGCTAATCTTGATACAGGAGATAACAAGCTTAAAAAACATTATATTGATGGTATTTTCTGTGATAAGGAAATCACTTCTATTTTCGGTGTTCTTTTTGTTGGAAAGAAGAAGAAGAAAATTATTTTATCATATGATAAAAGTGATTTGAGATGAATTACTACTACTTTAATTTGTTCGAGTATATTTCCTGTAGTAAGTTTTTCTTGGATGAGTAAGATTAATCTTATTTTCTTTCTAAGTGCATTCAAGCATTGCACCCCTTCAGTTATCTTTTCAATGAGAAAACTGTTTTCTGAATAAAGGTTAATATTATCACTTTAATGAACATATGTTGTCTCCTAGCAATATTTGAACATGAGTTTACTTTCTCGTTCAAATCCAGTGTCTTCTAAGGAAATTTGGAATATGATGAAAACTAAAAAGAAAGAAATAATTTGCAAGAAAAGGGACTTTTATGGAATCATTGATGAAAGATAGAATATAATTCAATGATAGGAAAAATCAGGTTCTATTTCTGTTTCCCTTGATTATTATTTTTTCTATCCTTTATAATTGATCAGATTAATTTCATAAATGTTAGGATTGATTTTCATTATGTGAGATGATCTCAGAATATAATTTTATTATTACTAATATGTATTCTGTTCAGAAGAGAGAATTTTTTTATAGTATTCTACTCCATATAAAATTTGATTGTGTCTTAACTTCTAGAGACTAAAATCTTTATTTTTTTTTCTCCGTCAGTATAAAGAATATAATAACTTCATGAACAAATCCAGTTGTGCATTGTTTTGAAGAATACATAAACTTTATCAATTTGTGAAATACTCTTTTTGAATGAATATTATAACTTTAAGAGTACAAAATCATTGTTAGGAATATTAAGACCAAAGGATTTGAAAAAGATAAAATCTTTTTCGTTAGCTAGAAATAGTGTTGTATTTGAGGTTTCTTGAGATTAAAACCTTTTTGATTTACTACTCTGTCTGAAAGTAAAGTGATTAGAAGAATATAAAAACTTCACCAGAATTTGAGGTTCACAAGTTTTTTTATAAGGATTGAAATCTTTATTGTTAGTATTCTAAATACTAAGTCGTCTGTCTAATTGTGATAGTTAGGGGATACAGAACACTAGTGGCATAAATTTAGTGGTCTTTTTTTATATAATGGGTGTTTCTATGGATTAAATCTCCAAAAGAAGGCTTTGTGCTGACAATATGTATTTTATGGTAAACAGTTTGAAAATATGAAAAAAATATGTGAAAAATAATTTCAAATACTTGAATAATATTTTATAGAACATATTTAAAATGTGGGGGGTTCTTTACTTGTGATAAAGATAAGATTAGACTTACAATCTAATTTAAATTTGAAAGTACAAGATATGAAATGTAATGACATTTTTTTATTATGTTAGGCCCACGAAATTCTTATAGTATATTTGATATTGTGGTCATTGAGTTTCTCTTTACTAGTATAAAACCATAAAATTATATTACTCTTTCAAAAAAAAATGTACTCTTTGATGAAAAGATATGTTTATTTTTATAGACATGAATATTGGTGAAAAATGATCTCTTATGTTTTTGTTGTAAAATAAACATTTAGATCATATTGCCTTTATTAAAACTAACAGACTATGTCATGGGTAATTCTAAAACAAATTGAATGTTTTGAAAAGGTTCTGCAAAGGACATCTTACAAGGTATTGACTCTAAAACAATGTCTCTATTTGAAAAAGTTATAACATGTAAAGAATAAAGTATTCTTAAGAAAATGTAACCTCATGGAACATCTTGTCAAACCAAGTATTTTTCTATTTTGTTCTTACTTGGTTGAATCAAATTGTTTGTGACGTAAACATTTGAGACTTGTCAATTACAAAACCTTGTGCCGTTGAAAGGAATTTTAATCCCTTCTAACACCATCTTATGGTAAAAAAAATGCTTCATAGATTGTATTGACAGTTGCACTATATACTGTTAATATCTATTTGCTGAATGATAAGAATGAAACAATAGAAACATATAGGCAAAATAAAACTAAAGTTGAAAATCAGTTAGATGAAAAGAGTGGCATGATTAGAAGTGGTATGTGAATATTCTTTTGCAGAATTATAACTGGAAAATGGAATCATCCATTAAATTACTGCACATACTCACCTCAATCTAATAAAATTATTGGCACGAAAAAAATTAAACTTTGAAGGAAATATTGAATGTCCTACTTATAAGTTCAGGTTTAATACAAAATTTGTGGGAGGATTCTCATTATAGCAAAAGATAAGAGCAAAAAATATTAGTATGTTTAGAAAGAGAGAAATAAAAAGTTATATTTGTTAATAAAGGGAGAAACAAATATAAAACGTTAGTTTGCTAAGAAAGGGAGCAACACAATTTTTTATTTTTTCTGACTTTGTTGTATCTTTATAGAAAATTCTTTTTTTTCTCTTAAAATATATACAAGCAATAAATTTTGAAAGATTGTGATATAACAATTTTCAATACAGTCTATTTCATTTGAGAAGTGGAAATAAGGGAACTATTCCCAAATGGGTCAAAATAGAACATAAGATTGTGAATTACATGTTCATTGGATATGCTACAGACAAGAAAGCATGTTGATTTATGGTTCATAAGTTTGAACTGTATGATAGTCAAGTAAAGGGTCTAAATAACCTTGAAAAGAACCAAAGGAGAATGTAGTTAATAAAGTGATTCATAGGCGTAGGAAATGTCAATGGAAAAATTACTTCCTCCAGGTTTTATCTTTTAATATTTCTTCTTGAAAATGAGTTCATATGGTAAAAGAATATATGTATTTTGTGGACTCATACTTTTTTGTCAATAGAAAGATAGATTCAATCTTGAGTAACCATACTTGAGAGTGGGTTGATCTTCCTCAAGGAAATAAACTTTTGCGTTCAAAGTGAATCTACAAAAGGAAAAGAAAGTTGATGAAACTATTGACAATTACAAAGCAAGACTTGTTGTCATAGGCTTTAGACGAAATCAAATACTTGATTAGTTTGACATATAATGTCCTTTAACTAGGATAACATGCAAATTCAGACGTCAATTGTGCGAGATGTAAATTTTTGAAAATGGATGTGAAAATATTTTTTTTGGAGGAAGAAATTTACATGGAACAACCCGAGGGCTTTGTGGTTCCTAGTAAAAAAAACAAGTGTGTAAACTTGTTAATTCAATGGACTAAAAACAAGCACCAAATAATGACATGCGAAATCTGACCAAACTACATTGACAAATGAATTATAGATTACTGAATGTGGTAAATGTTCTACATTAAAGACATCGCAAATCACAATGTCGTTATTTATTTTTATGTTGATGACATGTTGATCATCAAAAGAGACATATCTTGTATAAATGCTACTAAGCATATGCTACAAAGTAACTTCGATATAAATGAAATTAAAGTTTCTGATGTGATTGAAAAGGAATTTAACAAGTTCAAGTAGTCGTCTTTTAGTATTGTCTAGATTCCAATAATTGTGAGATTTTTACTTCAAAAGAATGAAGGAAAAAGTGATTCACAGTTGGATTATACTAGAGTATTGAGAAGTATGATATGTATCACTATGCACCGGAGTTGGGCCGAAATCACTTTCAAGGTAGTG